GAATCAAATTTCTTATGTGAGTAAGATCTTAGAAAAAATTGCCATGTCTAATGCTAAACCTGCAAACGTGCCTTTAGCTGCCAATTTTCAATTAAGTAAGGATCAGTCCCCCAAGACTGAAACTGAAATTGACTCTATACAAAATGTTCCTTATGCCAATGCGATAGGTTTTGTGATGTACTTGATGGTAAGCACTCGTCCTAATATAGCTTATGCGGTAAGTTATTTGAGTCGCTATATGTCGAACCCAGGTATGCCGCATTGGGAAGTTTTGAAATGGCTTCTTCGTTATTTGAAACATTCTTTGCAATATGTGTAATATTAATGCTATTTGCCCCAAACTAGTTCTTGTTTTATTATTATTACTATTTCTGTAATTTATTTGTTAAGTCCTAATCCCCTTCCCCTTAGGCTTATTAATCTGTGTAATTCATTTAATTAAAGGTCTGTAATATTAATACTATTTGAACGGCCACCCAACATTAACTCTATAGTTTCATTTCAAGTATGTCAAGAAAGAAGAAACACAAGTCTAGAGAGGAATGAAAATGAGAGTTTATTCAAGTGAGTTTTTAAAATTCCTTTCTATTTCGAATTTTATTCCCCGTTGCATATACTCACTTTATTTATTGGTAGTTTATTTATCACATGTGAGATTTTAACTATTTAAGGATTACGTAGGGGTACTTTTTTTCGTTTACTCATATATTGTTCGTCCATTTATATATGAAAAACTAACAAGATGGAAATTAAATATACAAATTAAACCTACTAACGATCACCACGTCTCATTCAATTTCCCATGTAAGAATTCGTGGTAATGCATGGTATTGAAATTTTTGGAGGAATTAGTTTGTGTTTTTTTCTTTTCTTGGCTCTGTATTAATGTGAGATTTGCTTTCCTTGCTTTGTTCGTTTTATTGGTATAAATTTCTTGTTGCTTATAGACTTGTTCAGTAAGCTTATGGGCTTGCGTTTGCATTTTATTTTAGAATAAGCTATAAAAAATATCCCTTTGTAATCTCTAAATAATAGAAAACTCTATGGGATAAATAAAAATCAAAAAGGACAACTTTATAGAGGGTGAAGTGCAGTTTGCCCTTTGAGGGGTATGCTTCAAAGGGGATATCTATTTAAAGACATTCAAAGTCTCGTTTTTGTATTTTGATAGGGAAAGGGCAAAAAAGACATTTTTGTACGAGGTGAAGTGCAGTTTGCCCTTTATTCAATAACTAATGATGAAAGCAACATAAACACGAATACCAACTAATAAAAACACACTTATTAGAGTCACATAATAAAAAGGAGAACATAAATCAAAGCACAAAACAAACACACACACACACACACACACACACACATATATATATATATATATATATATATATATATATATATATATATATATATATATATATATATATATATATATATATATATATATATATATATATATATATATATATATATATATATATGTATATATATATATATATATATATATATATATATATATATATATATATATATATACATATATATATATATATATATCTATATATATGTGTGTATATATATATATATACATATATATATATATATATATATATATCTTTTTATATATATCTCTCTATAAATATATACATATATACATATATGACTATGAGCTTTAAATTTAGATCTCACCATATACCACCCTCACACTAATACATGTGTTCTTTGTTCGCAGGTATCTCAGGGTCATCTAGCACGTGAGCAGTGATCTACTTTGCTCTCCCAGCTCCCTCGATCTCAACTACTTAAGGTGATCTATTTTTAGCATCATATATATATATATATATATATATATATATATATATATATAGGGCAAATTACCAAAACCCCCCTGAGGTAAGCCTAAATAACGAAAATCCCCCCCATGTTCTCGTAATTACGAAAACCCCCCTTGACTAACGGTTGACCGAATTTTTTTAACCGAAAACGTGAAATGTCTATTATATCCTTCTGTTAAATATGTAAAAAATAAAGGGCAAATTACCAAAACCTCCCTGAGGTAAGCCTAAATAACGAAAATCCCCCCTGACATCCCTTTCACTTGATGATTTATTGCTTTTATAAATTTATTTATTACTTTGTAATTTGTATTGATAATTTGATATTATAATTTTTTTATTTTTTTATTTGAAAAAGGGCATCTTCCCCAACCAAACTTATCCCGTCACCACCGGCCCAACCAAATTACTCTTCATCCATTTCAGCCCTCAAACCGCCGCCTGCCGCCTTTGCTTTACCTCCCTCCGCCGCCTCTGTTTCGCCGCCCTCCGCTTGCCCAACTCTGCTTCGTCGCCCTCCGCCGCCTGCCGCCTCTGCTTCATCGTCCATCGAAAATTAAGGACTATAACCCGAAAGCACATCACACCGAAACACCAAATTAATCAATCTTTCTCTCTCCCGAAAAAAAAAACTTCAAATTGAGGACTGTATTGTTGATTAAGCTTTGATTCCAAAAACTCAAATTCCTCGGGCGGATTCAAACTCTGATTCAAAGAAAAAAATTTGGTTTGGGGCTGAAATTGATGGACCGCCGCCGAAGGTTTCAACGGCGGAAGGTATATCCCTTGCTACAGTGTCATATTTCCACCAAATGGGTTGCTTCCACCACTGCAATTCGCCGCCGCCGTCACCCGTTGATTGATTGCGGCAAAGAAATAACCACCAGCCGGCAGTCAAATTTTGAGACCGGAGCACCGGCGAAAAAAACCCAATTTCTTTGCCTTGTGATGGTGAAGGGGCGGATTAAATAGCAGATTTTTCGAAATCGAACTAGCAGATATGGGGGGATGGATTGAAATTGGTTTGGTGGTGGTGGGGGTGGTGCGGCGGATCAGAGGTTGTGGTGGTTGGTGTTTGATTTGTGAGAGGTTATGATTGCCTGGTTTGTGTTTGGTGGTGTGTCTGATACGTGGTGGTGGACGAAGAAGACGAAGAAGATGAATATGTGCAGTTAACCCTTAAATAAAATGCTTACAATTACCCCCCTAAGGTTAATTTCGTGTACAAGGGCAAAATTGGTATTATCGGAGGAATATTCGGGAGAATCAAAAAGATTCTATCGAGTCTAACACCGTTAGAGCGATTTGTAAGACGTCTGCATACCTCAGGGGGGTTTTCGTAATTACGAGAACATGGGGGGGATTTTCGTTATTTAGGCTTACCTCAGGGGGGTTTTGGTAATTTGCCCTATATATATATATATATATATATATATATATATATATATATATATATATATATATATATATATATATAAGCCAAAAAACACATATTATGATCCTCTCATCGTGCTTCAAAGTGTAGAGTTCAAATAGGATAAAACGGGTACAAAAGTGACAATATTCCATATACTCTCACAGACTCCACTAAATTTGAGGAGTTGAGGGAGTGGGTGTAATTCTCCACACGAGAGGGATTTTTTTGTAAATTGCCCCCCCCTGAGGAGTGTGTGTAATTTCCCCCACATTTTATATCCCCCACTAGATTTAATTATATAGCAGAGAGGGAAAACGTCCCCCGCTAAAAGTCGAGTCTTTGTGCCCCCCCTTATGACTCTCAGAAGTCGAGTGGTATATTCCCGCACAGATTAGACATGAATTTTTTTTATTAATTAATAATTAATAGTGTTGAATAAAGTGATATGTGCAGTGTAATTCGGATCTAATTTTCGCCGGTTTCGATCCGAATACTTCCTAGTACAAACTTTTCTCATTTCAGATATTGTTGGTGTTTGATTAATAAAGCAGTGTTTCTCTTTCCTATTAGTCGTAGGCCTTGTTGTTGGGCGAACCACATTAAATTATCTTGCCTCAACAGTTGATTTATCGCAACCGTCCGATCAAGATCCGATTGGCAAAATCAGCCGTCCAATGATATATCCACGATAATTGCAAGAAACGATTCAGTTTTATAGTATTCAATACAGAGAGCTATAAGCTATATTATTAATATTTTGTATATATATTAATGAGTAAACTGCAAAAAGTATCCCTGTGTAATCTCCAAATTGCAAACACTTCCCTGTGATAAATAAACTAGGAAAAAAACCGTGTGAAATTATTTATGTAGCAAACTCGGCCCATTATTCATTTGAGTATTGACTTGATATAAAAAGACACGTATAACCCCGGGGTTTTGCAATTAATAAATTCTTATATTTTATAAACATTTTAATTATTTTATCTTAATTAGAAAAGTACAATGGGGTCTTTTATGTCAATTTTTATTATATCAGATAATTTCTGTATATTTTTTAAATTATTCCTACATCAAAAGAAAATTTAACTTCCATTATTATGTATTTTTTATTTTGCATTTAAAAAACCCTATCTTAATTTAGTTATCAAATTGTAATAATTTTTCAATTGAGTTGTTTACTATTTTTTTTAATAATATTTTAATTTCTATACAATCAAATTAAAAAGAATTAAATACATTTTGATGGACAATTTCGTCATTTTACGTCTAAAAATCAGCGACCAGCCGCACATCCAGCGAGTGAGCCACACGAAAGTCAACTAGGAGAGTTTCTGCCTTTGACTAAATTTGACAGGAGGATTTTTGCTAGTTTATTTATCACAAGGGGGGTTTTTGCTATTTGGAGATTACATAAGGGTATTTTTTGCAGTTTATTCATATATTGTTGGACAATTTGTATATGAAAAACTAAAAAGATAGCAATTAAATATACAAATTGAACCGATCACCACGTCTCATTCAATTTCCTATGTAAGAACTCGTCTCCTTGATCCTTCAAAACCTGTTTAGGTCAATTGAAGAATATTCAGCAGATCATATATATATATATATATATATATATATATATATATATATATATATATATATATATATATATATATATATATATGAGATTGGAATTTGAGGTTATCTTGTTCATCCTTAATTTAGACTGTGTTTGAAAAGTGAAGGAGATCGATCATCTGCAGATGGAAACACTCCATTTCAGCCACCCGCACCCTTTGAAGCCCATCCCGTATCAACAAACCCTAAACCTAACTTCGCCATGCCCTGCATGCAAGCTCAAACCCTCTGCAGGTATTCTCTACACCTGCACAGTTTGCAAAGACTATTTCCTTCACAAGAAATGCTCCGACATGCCGCAGAAGATAGATCACTTCTGTCACAAGAAACCTCTAACCCTTCTCCCGAAGCCCGCGAGTACCAACGGCCGCTTCGTGTGCAACGCCTGCGGCAAATCAGGGGACGGCTTCTCGTACAATGGCATCGACGTCGATCTGCACATGCTCTGCGCGCTCATGCCTTTGTCCGTGGCCCACGAATCTCACGTGCACATGCTCAGTCTTATATTCGAGTCGTCTTATCCTTTCAAGAGTTACTCCTGTGGGATATGCAACGCGCCTGGTTCAACCCGACACTGGCTTTACAGGTGCAAATTGTGTGAGTTTAATGCACATCTCGACTGTGCCACGGCTGTAGTTCCAAAGAAGGACACGAGTTTGAATATCGGTTTTGATAACCAATCGCCGTGCAAGACACCGCCAGAGGCGGCCGCGGCAATTTTGTCGAGATTGGCTCCATCCGCGCCACAGCTTCCCCCTATACAGATGCGGCAGAAGAATGTTACGATGCCTCGTGATCCTTTAATGATGAACATTAACGATGTAGCTTATGGATTTTCATTGGGGGTTCCTGTTTCGCCTAGTTTTCATGAGGTCAATAGAAAGCTCGACAATGATTTGGCACTTTTGACCGTTCAGAAAATGATTGTCAACAGAAGTAACGCCATTGCTCAAGCGGTTCAGCAAATGATTGTCAACAATAGTGAAGCCATAGCTCAGGGCATACTGATTTCGGGGGGGAGGGGTTATGGAGGCGGAGAGAAGGAAGGATTGCATTTGCTGACTGACTTAATATGCGTACTTACTAACGCTGGCGGTAGTGGTGGTGGTGGCCAAGACTCGGTAAACAACGGTGGTGGTGGTGGTGGTGCTGGTGGTGCTGGTGCTGGTGGTGGAACAGATTATGTTCCGTCTTTTCCAGGTGATGGAAAGGCATGGTATTGAGATTCTTGGGGGAATTTGTGTGTGTGTTATTTTTTTTTCTTTCATAGCTTTTTAATGTGAGATTTGTTTTTCTTGCTTTGTTGGGGTTTGATGAAGACAATAAAAGAGTAATGTATTGCAAATGATCATTATTGAGGTGTATTCCTTGTGTAAATATCTTGTTTGCTTATAGATTCTATGTGTTGTACTCTTTACCGTTGAGAAATCTAATCTTTCTGTTTAAATACAAATTCCACACAATTCTGGTAACGCCAAAATTTGTCACCGAATGTCCACTTTTTCGATACCCGAGCTTTTTGTAACGACATAATAGGCGATCTTTCTTTGTCCTATAAAGCTCGATGCTAGAAGTTAAGGTAACGACTGCTGATGATTCATTACCAATACACTAGTAACGCAACATAAATTGTTACAATAACTTCTGACCGGTGACAAATATATGGTCCTCACTAAATTCTCTTTTTGACGTTACGAAAGTCGAAATTTGTTACTATAGAAAGAATAAAATTGGAGAATGACATAATTAAGACGTAATAGAAACTCGCATGACCTATGGGGGTTAATTTGCATTGATTATACGTAGAGATTTATTACAAGGTAATAGACTAATCTAGGTAACTAATCTTGGTAACTGAATCATAATAAAATTCTAATATTACAAGAGTTTCATAATATAATATACTCTAACACGCCCACGCAGTTGAAACGTGACGAACGTGAAAGAGTGAACGATCACTTGCCAACAAGAACGAATAAACACCAAATGTGAAGACCGGACAAGAAGCCACGAAATACAGCAGTAGTGAGAAATCCTCTGTGAAAATATCTACCAAATTGATGATGAAGTTAAAATAAAAAGAAGAAAATAACGGGGAGGAAAAAAATATTGGACCTAGAATAAAAAGAGTATAAAATAGATATGAGCTAGGCAACGGGCCTACACCGAGAGAAGACGTGCTAGGGAAGGGGAAGATGGGTCAACCTATGCAAGACCGAAAAGCATTTGCAGGTAACAAGTGGAGAACACCAAAAAGAGGAGAAACTACCAAGAAAATGAAAAGAGAGAAGAACATAATAGAGAGAGGAAATAAATTGCTTTTGTAGATTTTTTTTTCGAACTCAGGAACTTTCATTTAGCCTGGTTCTGATATCATGTTCCATATATTTAATATTAATATTTCCAATAGTACCGATAATCAATTTCATATATATTTAATATATAATAGGGTCAAATTCTTTTCGTTACAAAAACTTATTACGACACTCGTTATTGTCACCAATACTTGTGATTAATAAGTTTCCTTTTGTAATAAGAATTTTGTCACTAATACTAAATATGACGAACAAAGTCCTCACAAATAACTTTATTTTTAATATTATCTGTTAGGTATAATTTTCAAAAAAAAAAAGAAACTAAAATAAAATAATAAATTGGGAATTTTTCTGATAACAAGAATATTCATTCATAATATAATAACTATGTAAGATAAATATTACATTCAAAACACAGAAAATAATCAAATACTTTGTCTTAATAAAGCTGCTGAAAATACAGATCGTGCATCATGAATGAGTCACTTGGTTTTATTCAATTCACATACGTTTGGAAGACTATTGATTCTATAATTAGTCTATTCAATATGACATTTGAAGCATGTCAAGAAACAAGAAAGAAGAAGTCTAGAGAGAGAAAGAAAGGATATATAATCAAGGGGGTTTTGTAATTAGTCAATTGAGTGAGAATTATAGCAAACTTCTTTTTTTCTTTTTTTTTTTTTTTTTTTTAATCTCATTTCCACAACTATTCCTTTAATTTGTATTTCGTATTTTAATTCGTGTTGGTGTTGCGTATACACTTTATCTAACTGCAGGTTTGAAGCCACTGGATTTAATTAACGTGTAAATTACGGCCACCCCTAAGGTATAGTTAAATTACGAAAAAAAATCTCATGTTTTGATAATTACAACCAACCCCTTAATTACAAATTTTCTTACACTCACCCTTGTAGTGTCAAATTTTGTGGAATCTTCTAGATTATGTGAAATATTCTCCAGTGTGTACCTGTTTTGCCCCACATTTTGAGACAAGATGATCATAAATGTGTCTCTTGGTTCGTAATTATCAGATTATGGTGTATTAGAAACTGCATTTCTGCACAAAACGAGTACAATTAGAGATCATTCCACGAAGGCTAAAATATTATGTTGAATTTGACACCATAAGGGTGAACGTGTAAGAAGATTCATAGTTGAGGAGATGATTGTAAATGTAATTACACAAACAAGAGGGAGTTTTTTTCTTAATTTGACCTTACTTCAGGGGGCTAGCCGTAATTTAGCCTTAAATGATATAGCATGAAGCTGACAGTGTCACCAGCCAGTGGCGGATCTAGCTATGGTCTAGGGTGTGCAGCTGCACACCCTTGATTTTAAATAAATACTACTATTATACATATGTTGACAGAAAAAGTAGGTGGTTGAGGTGGTAAAGATATGCCTCCCTTTACTAACAGGTCACGGGTTCGAGCTCCACTCAAACATTTTGATTTCTTTTCCAAATCTTAACATTTTTCACCTTTTTGTTCCACTATTTTGATTTTTTTTCCCAAATCTTAACACTTTCACCTTTTTTTCTCATTAAATATTTCCACAATTCACCTAAAATTTTTACATTGTAAATTTTTGGTCCACAATTTTTATAAAATCTTAACATTTTCACCTTTTTTCTCATTAAATATTTCCACAATTCACCTAAAATTTTTACATTGTAAATTTTTGGTCCACTATTTTTATAAAATCTTAACATTTTTCACCTTTTTTCTCATTAAATATTTCCACAATTCACCTAAAATTTTTAAATTGTAAATTTTTGGTTCACTATTTTTATAAAGTGATATTTAAATTTTTTACTCTACAATTTCGAACCCCCTTGGCAAAAATCCTGGATCCGCCACTGACCAGCTGAGAGTCAAGTCTTTATGTACCTCCTGAGGAAACTTAGAAGTTTAAGAAATTCCACTACAAAATTATATATGATAAAAATTTGCAATATGATTCGAATCTAATATTGATCCAAAGTTTGGCGATGGAAGAATTGAATCGAGAAACTGCAAAACTCCATTTCAGACACCCACACCCATTGAAGCTCATCGTCTACAATCAAACCCTAAACCTAAATTCACCATGTTCAGCATGCAAGCTCAAGCCCTCTGCGGGTATGCTCTACTCTTGCATAATTTTCCCACACTATTTTCTTCACAAAAGTTGCTTCGAAACACAACTCTCTAGATGGAGTATTCCCACACCATCGCGGGTCGATAGTAGCGAACAAAACAATGAAATGGCCGTTGAGGTAGTTCAGCAAATGATTATCAACAACAGTAAGGCCATAGCTCAGGCGGTACTTTCAGGGGGCGGTTCTGGAGAATGGAGATTACAACAGTGGATTTCATCAGCTGATTCAATTGATATCTATCATTAACAACAACAGCAGCAGCACTAGCGGCGGCGCTGCAGGCGGCCCCCAATACTTTTTGCAGACGACAGTATCGGGTGGTGGTGGTGGTGGTGGTGGTGTCTCTTTGCCGGAGAAATTAACTCACCCTATCGACAAAAGACATGCTTTAACCCTCTTAGCGGAGCCCGCCTATGGCGAAGGGCAATTCCGATGCGATGCTTGCAGAGAGAGCGGAAATGGTTACTCCTACCATTGCCGAATTTGCGGCATTGATTTGCATGTATCTTGTGCCATGTTACCGTTATCCGTCACACGTGTCTCGCACGTGCACACTTTACATCTTGTTTTTTAATCACCATATACTAACAATAAGTTTCCGTGTGATATATGCATGAAGCCCGGTTCGCGACAGTGGCTTTATAGGTGCAAACCTTGTGGATTTAATGCCCATCTCAAGTGTGGGGCCCCCGGTATGATGAACGGTGGTTTTCCAGGGGGAGTCCCGACTCAGATTACGAATACTAACAATGGAGCAAATACGGATGTGGCTCAGGGATTGATCGGATTAGTATCCGGAAATGGTGTTGATATTCTTAGTGGCTTACTTGGAGGATGACTTCTTAAGTGTCCATGAACCTGATCAAAGATTACCCGCTGTAAATATTCTCATTTTTTTTTTCTTTCTTTATTTTTTGGTGTTTAATTTGTCTATGCAATTTAATTTAATTTGATTTTCTTGTTTTGTTGGATTTTGAAGACAATGAAAGATTGTGGAAATGATCTGTTTGATTTAGATGATGTATATATGCATTCCTGGTGTAAATATCGTATTCATTAATGCTTCGACGATGTTAGGTTTTTTTTGTATATTCAATATTATTCATAAATCGATTGAAATAAATAAAGCATATCAGAATAAAGGATGAAGAAGAGAAGAAATAGAGGGGAAGAAGGAAAATTAAGTCAACACAGGAAACTTCAACGATTAATAAGGGTGTTTGGGGATTTTGATTTGAAAATACAATTAAGTCCTTGAAATAGCCATGCACAAGTTGTGAATTCCGGCCAAAATTGTTTGAAAATAGGCAACCTGACACAAAATAACGAGTTTGGGAGTGATCGTGCAAAATTTTTTTGTTGAGGTGGTAATACACGAAAATGGGCAAAGTTTAGGTGGTTTAATGTTATTTACCCAAATTTATTTTTAGGGGCTTTAAGATATGCATCCCTAGTGGGAAAACTTATTAGATAATACACCCAAGCTTATAAAAACATTAGCTAGACATCCTTTTGGGAAATAGTGCCTATAATACCCTTACGGTGACATTAACGCCGTTTATTTTTAATTTTGGAAAAAAAAATTAAATCCCACCAATCTCGCCATTAGTAATCTGTGAGATTATATTTTTTCAAATCCCACATTAACCGTATCAAAACCAACCCACTATCCTCCCACTTTGCCTCATCTTCGCCAGATTAGGGTTTTTTCCCTTTTCGTTATCGCCTGCAAATCGACGCCGAGCAACATCATAGATTCCCAAAT